GTTTTGAAGGTGTGAAGAGGTCATGAAGAGCTGCTGAGACTTGGTACTGTGAGAGGCCATTGGAGAAGGTGCAATCTCAATAGAAGTTGAAATTTCAGAATTGAAGGGGTCATGGAGAGAAGTTGAGGCTAGGCACTATGAAGAGAGCTCATGAAGAGACTTTCAGTGAAAGTAGAGCCCAGTTGCAGCAAAGACCTCAGCATTGTGAAGATGTTGTTACTATGCCACAACCACCAAGAATAGCAGCAGTGGTGGAGTGGAGCCTTCCAGAGGCTTGGAACACAAGCTATGTGCACTGCAGAGGGCAGAGCTGGAGAAGTGACCCAAGCCCCTTGCAAGAACTCAGAAGACCATGAGTGAATAATTGGATGTTGAGTTATTTATACTTTTGGAGTTTGGTTTTGCTTTTTTTCAGATTGTGACTCTGTCCTGATTCTTCCCTCTTGAAGCAAGAAAGTGTTTAACTTATTTTTTATTTCACAAGAGCCCACAATTGAGGGACTGAACTTTTAAATAGATGTTAGGTTTTAAAAGAGTTTTTTTTTTTAATAGACTGAATTTTAAAGTGTTTGAATTTGTAGAGACTGTGGGACTTTTTAAGCCTGTAACATGTTTTATATTGTGTTGTTAATTTTAATGTATGACCTTGGGGTGGGGACAAGAAAGGAAAGGTTAAGGCTTAAAAGTGATGTTTGTGCATCAAATTGACAAGGGATCAATCAATTGTCCTGGCTAGTTTTATGTTAACTTAATACAAGATAGAGTCACTTGTAAGGAGGGAGTTTCAATGGAGAAAATGTCAATGTTAAAATCCAGCTGTAAGGAAAATGTAAGGGCGTTTTCTTAATTAGTGAGTGATGGGGAAGGCCCAGTCTGCTGTGGGTGGTGCCATCCCTGGGCTGGAGGTCCTGGTATTTATAAGAAAGCAGGCAGAGCAAGCCATGAGGAACAAACCAGTAAGCAGTACCCAACCATGGCCTCTGCATCAGATCCTGCCTCTAGATTCTTTTCCTGTTTGAGTTCCTGTCCAGACTTCCTTCAGTGATGGACTACAATGGACAAGTGTAAGACGAATAAACCTTTTCTTCCTCCACTCGCCTTTGGTTATTGTATTTCAAGAAAATGCCCCATAGATTCTGTAACAGTCTAATGGAGTTATTTTCTCAGCTGAGCTTCCCTCTTCCCAAATGACTCTAGCTTCTGTCAAGTTGACAAAAAGAAACTAACCAGCACAACCAGTTAGTTGGAAAAATCTCAGGTGGAAATGTCTTCTTCACCTACAGGTAGTTTGGTGAGCACTTTTAGAAATGAGAGCTTTTAAAGTCAGTCCAGGGCAGAAGCCTTGCCCACTTTTAAGCCTCTGGCTCTTGGGCACATGCCTAAACTCTGGGATTCTTGTCTTTCATCTGCAATTAAAGCCAATGAGACCTGCATTCGTTGGAGGGTCTGTTGCTGATAAAAGTGCTCAACAACACTGCTCTTCTAAGTAAACCACACCTAGGAGAGGACAGACACCTCACTGATTTCTTAAAGAACAAAGCACAGTCATGTCAATAAAACCACCGATGTACATCGTAGAATTGGACCTCAGCGGATTGCTGCTTTTTTCTGCGTAGTCTGGCAGTTAGATCGTCATTCTTCCGCCTTGGCTCTGACTGTCATCGTATTTGCTCCCCTTCTAGGTTAAGCTCTCTCTGCTGTGGAGACTGGGGGCTCCGGAGAGGGGTGGAGATAAAAAGCAACAGCAGCCATTCGGCAGAGTATGAGTGGAGTGCTTCATGGATGTAACTACCATAAGTACTTAGGAGGACTCACATCAGACTGGCTAGAAGCTGGGTCAGCATGCTTGTGGGTGGTGAACAGGACTCCCAAGGAGGGAGATGGAAGGCCCTGGAGTAAGCAGATCAAAGGGGCCCAGCTCTCCCTAAGGGTTTATAGCTGCATGTTCAGCACTGCTATCCTGAAAGGAATATATGTTTCCTAGGTCTTTATTGCGAGTGTGCTTTAATTTTTTTTTTCTCTCCTTAAGAATGAGCAAAACTGTGGGAAGTCAGACATTTATCCCTTCTTGGTTGACAGTTGATGGATACTTCCTTTATGTTCTGTTATCTTGAGCAGGGAGCTGCCAGCTAAGCAGGTGACTGACTGGGTTGTTATGTGGCAGCCTGGTGGCTTTGAATACTGTATGGACACCTTGGAAACAACACCGCTCCTGCTACAAGCAACACTCGCAGCTGTGGCTGGCAGTTGCAGGAGTTATAACTGCTCCAGTGTGCCAGCACTGGCAAATGACACTCTGGCCATTCTAGGCCTCAGTGATTTCCAGATGACCAAGTGGAAAGTTGCTCGGGAAAGCCCAGTCCTCGACTGTAGAGCTCTGCCCTACCTTCGACAGGTAGCGCGAGGAAGAGTACTCGCCCAGTGACCCAGCAAAAAGCCTGTGGCTGACAGAGACTAGTTCTTATGAAGGATTGTGATTGTTCTGGGGGAAGCTGGAAGGTGTGCAAAGTACAATTCCATATTTATACACCTCACTCCTTCTGAGTGTGCCAATACAACTAGGCTGTTCCCTATATATTTTTTGAGTCAGCTAGGGCGTCTTCTGTGTTCTGTCTGCTTGTGTTGCATTATTATTTCCAATAAAAGACATCTCCTAAGTGACCTTTCCTTGCTTACTTGTGGTCATTGTCCTGGGTAGGAGAGTGGGTGGCAGTGGCCATGACTATGGCAATGATGACAATTGTAGCAGCAGCTTTGTCAGTAGAAATACAAGCAAGAAGGTAGCTGAGGAGCTCAGGGAGTGAGTTGGAGCAGGTCCGGCAGGAAGCGGAGGTAGTGAGGGGTGGTGGAGGTTTGGAGTCAGGGAAGATGAAGAAGCAAGCTGAAGACTATGAAGATTTTCAAGCAGACTCCAGAGAACTTTCAAGGCCCAAAGCTCCAAGGGGCTTGACCCACAAGGCTTGAGAACTTTATACTTGCTGTTGAGTGCCAGGACCAAGGGTTCTAGAACCCTTGGGAACCGTGACACAGGCAGGTGCTGAGTGATATTAGAGCTGCTACTAACTGAGGAGATGCTCCTTGGCAAGGCTGAGGTGCTGGTAGTCAGGGCCCAGAGCAGTAAGCCCACAACTGGAGTATCTAAAACTGTAAGCGTCTGTCTTCTACAGCCCAGAGCCACGATCCTCTAATTCTAAGGGCTTAAGAGCCATAGGGATCCAAATTTGTCAGCTCAAGGGTGCTCAAGGTCCCAGGCCTACCAATTCTGGAATGCTATTCTTTGTCCTTTGGTGATTTCCGTCTGAGCGGAGCAATGACCTCAGCCAGCTGACTGGCAACAAGAGCAGCTGCCTCATCTCTATGGTACCCTCACTCAGGGACTCCAGAGACATCCTAGGCTGTTTATTCATTGGATTATGAAAACAGAGACCACAAGAAGTGCAGAAAGTTGACTGAGGGCACCAGCTAATTAGAAGGGTGTGGATAGACCAGCTCCAAACCCCATCTGCAACCCTCATTCCCTCAGCTAAGAGGCTATTTATTAATAATTTTATTAACTATTTTCCTCAGTTCTTTTCATCTGTCTCCTCTTCCCCTTGCCTAGAACTCCCTCTTTCCTTCCTCCTTAGTTCTATTCTACCTTTGAAGTTGAATATTTTTTTCCACTGGAAGTGGCATTAAGAGTGTCCTCATATTTAAGGGCCAGGCAGATGTAAGTGGGTTTTGGAAAGTCTAGGCATTGCTGTACGGCGTGGATTCCCAGTAGGGTGAATTTGCCCCTAGAAGGCATTTGGACCTGGAGACATTTTGATAATCCTAACAGGAGAGCTGGAGGCCAAATGCAGCTGACAGAGACTTGGGGATATCACTTAATACCTTATGCAGGAGAGGACAGTCCCAAAGCAAAGGGCCCTCCAGCCCCAGGTAAACACAGTACTAGCTGGAAAAAGCTTGTCGCAAGTACTTAGGAGGGCACCCCCTTTTATTCTTAGCTATTTTTTTTTGCTGAGTTTCCTTTCTTGAAAGGCACACTCCTTAGCAGACCAGAGGTTCAGGTTGGGCAGTGCTGCACCTCGGTTCTAGAGCAACAGTCGGGCCCTTCAGGGTACTGGCAGCTCTGGGTGCAGAATCCCCTTCCATGAGCCAGCTTCTCCAGGAGCAAGCCTACTGCTGTCCATGGGGCATGTGGGAAGGGGTCCTGGGTGTGTGCAGCTTTGTGTGCCTAACTGCTTCTTATATAGGCTGAACCCAGTCCTGCTTTGGGTACCATCTCACATGCCCACTCCTGTCTATTCCTGATCCTTCTGTAGTTGTGTCCTGAGATTGGATTTACTTGTTGTAGGCCATCAGGATGCTGCTCTCTCTGACCCAAGTGGGTTACCCACCCGCTTGCTGTCATTCAGGACTGTTTCTGGTCCCTTCTGTTACCTCCTCTCCGTGCTCAGGGTCTCACTCATTGCTTTGCCACCATTGTCATAGGGCTGGGGAGGGCGTTGGGTACAGATGTGCTCAGTCCGTCATCTTAAACCAGAAGTGGGAATCCTCATATGGTGGATCACAATCCTACAAGCTGTGTCTGGCACAGTAGTGGTGATAGAATTTTTTTCACTTAATTCTCTTATAGTTTTGGTTGTGAGCCTAACCTTTCATAGCTGAGCCATCTCTCCAGTCCTTCACTTAACTCTCTAGAAATAGGAATTGAGGGACGGCACCAGACAGAAGGTAGAAGAGCCCTGTGACTTTAGTCCTAGTAATCCCTGTTTCCCTGCTTGTAGAATGTGTGCTCTGCCATGTGGAAAGGATGGGAGTGAGGGAAGGATGTAGGACAGTGAAGATAGCATGATGCCTTACCTCCATCATCCCCATGGTTGGAACTATCACCATCTTCACCTTCTAGTGTATAATTAAAAAGTTGTGTCTTTTTATGAGGACAGAATGTGACTCTGAGACAGGTCTAACCCAGCACACCAGTGTGTGTATCCATTGCCTCATTTTCTTGCCAGAGGCTTCCAGTTCGGCTGGCAGAGGGGCGACCGACAGGCCAATTGGACTGGGCTCTTTAATGACAGCGACAGCCCAACAGGACAGAACATCAGTGACTCAAGCTCCAGGTACAGACCCTGGTGATGGCGGGGGAAGGGGAAGCCCAATCGGAGGGGGCCTCCAAAGTCCCTATCCCAATTGCTTGTCCCTAGAGCTGCCCTCAGGGGAGGAGGGCCTTGGTCTTCACTTTCACAGTTCATCACATTTGGGGTCCTCTTTGCATCCTTTGAGGGGTGAGTGGACATGAGGAACAAAGGATAGGTCCCTACCGTAACACTGTGGAGATACTGGCCTTTCAGGTAAGGTGGGATGAGAGCTCTGGGCCTGAGCCCCATTAGTCTGAGGGAACAAGAGCTGTGTTTATATAGCAGAGACTTCAGAACTTGAGTTGGCAAACGCTTGTGTGTGAGGGGGGTGTGGTGGCATCAGAGAGTGGAGATTGGGCAGGTATTCCCTGCTTCATTGAAGTTCATTGCCCAGACAGAGATTTCCCCATGGCCAGGGCAGAATGATCTCTTTCAAGGCAACACTTCGCTGTAACCATATGTCCACAGGACAACTGGAGTGTGTCAGATGGGCACACACCATGATCAGACTTCAAGAATCTGATGCTTGCCTCTTGGAACCAGAGGTCTTCCTTCCTATGGGCAGTGGGAACATGGGCGGCCAAGCAGGGTCCTGGGATGTCATGGGACAGTGAGTGTAGCAAAGTTGTCTTTCAGGTGGTTGGTAGTTTGTCATGTCCTGCCCATTTAGATATGAGGGAGTCTAGGTAAATGAGTAGGTACCCGTCTCCCTGGGGAGCTCCTCGGGAGAGATAGATAGTTGAAAGACTTTGGATAGAAAATACTGGAGTGAACAAGATGGACAGGCCCAAGGAGGCTGTTTCTGGACAGATGTTCTCAGCCAATGGCTGAAGCCATTGGATAGTGCATAAATTTGATCATCACTGTGACCAATACTTGATAGAAATAACTTAAAGAAGAAAAGATTCACTCACTCACTCATTCATTCATTCATTCATTCATTCATCCATTCAGAGGTTTCAGTTCATCATGGTTGGTAGCCGGGCGGTGGTGGCGCACGCCTTTAATCTCAGCACTTGGGAGGCAGAGACAGGCGGATTTCTGAGTTCGAGGCCAGCCTGGTCTACAGAGTGAGTTCCAGAACAGCCAGAACTACACAGAGAAACCCTGTCTCAAAAAGAAAAAAAACAAAAAGAAAAAAAAAATCAAAAAGAAAAAAAAACCCATCATGGTTGGTAGAGTTTGGCAGAGCAGTGACAGGAGAGAGCCAGGGCAAGATATGGCTCCCAAGGACACACCCACAGTGGCATACTTCCTCTGAGCAGGTCCCTCCTTCCACGGTTCTACCACCTACCAATATTCCATTCAAAATCTGAATCCAGGGATGGATGAAACCACACATTAGGTCAGAGATCTTATCTCTGGAAAGTCCCTCACAGAGACAGGCAGAGGTGTGTGTTCTCATGCATGCTTCTCAACCCAATAAAGTTGGCAACCAAGATGAGCCATCCACGAAAATGTACACACAATACTGTTGGTGTTGTAAATCTGCCTGAGAACCCATGGCTGGGGAGCTCACAGGTCTCAGGGATGAGCCTACTCTTGTTATTTTCTAAACGGAGATAGCATCGAACCGCCATCTAACAATGTGTATACCCACAGAGTAGCTCTGCTCTCAGCCCTCTTTGGAGAAGCTTCTCTGTGTCATGAATGGTGGTTAGTCTGTAAACCCAACAACCGTTCAAGGGCAGAGAGGATCAGCATCTGTGGAGGCTCAGCCATAGACAGGTTATCACACACTCACCTCTTGGCAGTGCAAGAGTCAGAGGTCAGGGAAGCCCAGGATGAAACGGTGTCTCTTGAACATTACAGGACTGAGGTGCCTGAGAGCTCACAACAGCCATGGATGCTGTACAAAGAAACCTGGGCAAAATCAAGCCAGTCAACATTCCAACATGGAAGGAGAAAGGCTCTAGTTGAGGAGCTGCTGTCAGCAGCTGATGCCTTCTCTGGGAGTCAGTTTTCCTTAGGAGAGTAGCCCCTGCAGTCTGCTGCTCTCCAGCGGATGGCACACACCCCTGCATCTATGGCAGCACTCCTTAGACCCCATAGGATCTAGACTTACTGTATGTGTGTATGAAATTCCCAAAGTCATAAAAACACCGTGCTTAAGAACCAAGGATTAACCATTTACTGCCACATGGCATGGGGGGGGGTGCGGGGCTTGGCTCCTGTTGTGCTTATACAGGAGGAGCTGTGGTCCCAAGCCCAGCATCATAGGCCTGAGACCTGACCATGGTGTGTGGCCATGCTACCCACTCAGACCACTCTGTCTACCTCAGAACATCTGCCCACTCGGGTTCTGACACTGTCACCACATGTTTACTTTTTCAAAGCTTGGACAAAACATGAACTCTGCCCCTAAATTTCCCAACTGCCAGCATCTTCTCTTCCTCATCCTCATCCTGTTTCTCTACTTCCCTTCCCTTCTCCTCCCCTCCCCTCCCTTCTCCTCCCCTCCCTTCCCTTCTCCTCTCCCTTCCCCTCACTTCTCTTCCCCTCCTCTCCCTTCTCCTCTTCTCCCCTGCCCTCTCTTTTTCTCCCCCCTTCTCCTCCCCTTTCCTCATATGAAGCCATCTGCCTTTCTCTCATTTCCTGTCATCTTCTTGGCCCACGTTTCTTTCTCCTTTCCTTCTCATATCCCTTGCTCTCTACTCTTTTTTTTTTTACTTTATAACTGCTTTAAACTTTATAACTTTACAACTACTTTATAACTACTTTATAACTACTTTATAACTCAGAGCCTCCCTTTTCCCTCACCTTTGACTCCTCAGGATTGGAGACATGACTAGAGATTGTTTACTTTTGGAATTGAGAGGCTCTTTAGCGAGCAACATTACACCCCACTCCACCCCCGAACCTTTTTGTTTTTGTTTTTGTTTTTTGGTTTTTTTTGTTTTTTGTTTTTGGAGAGCTGCCATATGACCAAGAATCCCCTTGGTCAGAATAAGTGTCTTGACCACATGCCTCCCCACCCCCACCCCCAATTTTGTGGAACAATTCCAATTTCAAATCTCAACTTTCGTCTATTCCTAAAAGATGTGTCTGCTCCTCCTGCTCAGACGGTAGCTGTGGGCTTACTCTGAGTTTCTTAGCCCACATTCTTTTGTGCCGAGTGGTGATGGGTTTAGGTACAGAATGACTTGAACCAAGTCATGCTGCTTCTTCTTTGTGAGGGTTGGAGCAACAATCCTGTTCTAATAACCAGGATGGCGGCAGTCAGATGCTTTAACCACAGACCTGTGCCTAACACTTGGGCCACTGCTGGCCTATGTGTGAAAGACTGCATGCAGTGTATGTGGTTCTTGCGTGGGAAGAATGAATAACATAATCAGAACCAGGCCACATATGGGAGATTTCTCACCTGGATGAATGAGCAGCTTGTGCCTGCTTGAAAATGTGCTGGACAGCTCCTGGCAGCAGATTTCCAGCCTCCACAGAGGACTTAAAAAAGGACAGATGTCATGTACATCATCCCAGTTAAGAACTTTGTATCTGGCATATAGAATATCTTTGTGGTATTATTCACCTACTGAATAATTCAGTGCTTGCCATATTTTATCCTCTATAGTTGTATGGTATGTAGAAGCGTGGTACAGCCCGTTAGCATTTTATTAACAGGGATGGAAAGGAAGTCAGGAGGAGCCAAATATAACCATGTGATAAAGAGGAGGAGTATACCAGCTAACAGTTTCTAGGAGTCCCAAGGAGAAAAGGCCAGTCTGAAAAATTCCAAGCAGAATCACAAAGAAAATCCTGACTGATAGTGCTCACTGGGGCTGTGGTCAGATCTAGTTAGACACACACCAGGGGAACTCAGACTGAGCCAGGAAGTCTCTATCATACAATATACATTGACATACAGCTTTATGATGTTCAACTCAGGTCTATGAAATATTGCCCAGTAAGAATCCTTAGGGGGACTGCTTTAATGTGCAGAATGAAGTGGCTGTTAACCAGAAAACATTAAGTGAGTGTTTAGGCCAAGCAGAGGAGTCTTTGAAAATAGTTCCGACTCAGATTACAAGTGTATGTTTCTGTCTTCTCAGCTAGTAATGGTGAGCCCTCTTATTGTTCTCAGAAGATGAGTGGTACCTTCTGTACCAGATGCTTAATAGGCAGGGACAATACAGGGAGGAGGAGATAAGGGGGACATAGAGGCTAATGGTAAGACAGCAAACCCCAGCTCCTCTGTTTCCAGAGATGCCCTCTGGATTCAACTTTGTCATCTTCTGATGCTATCTTTAAAAAGTTATTCCTTCACAGGCTGGAACTATCAAAGATCATCTCTTGGGAAGAGCAGATGAATAGATGCCCTGAGGGTTCTGGGATTCTGGATAGAAAAGAGGAAACTGAAAGCCAGAGAGGGGTATGTAAGAAGCAGAGAGGAGGTTGGTGAAGGTGGGCTATAGATATGCCTGTGGTAACTGACTGAGAAACCCTTCCAAATGCTCCCATGCCTGTCACCAGGCATGGTGATTCTGGGGGGTGGGGCAGAGTCCTTGTCTTTGTGTGTGTGTGTGTGTGAGCTGGATGCCTTGGTTCCTCTAGTCTGACCTGTGTGTCTGCCTGCCTACTCACCAGCTGCTCTGGGGAGGTAGCTGTCCCCTTGGTGGTTGCCCACTCTGTCTTGCAGAGTGTGCAACATTGGATCCAGTTCCTCATACTGTAATCTCAGGTAAAGTCCCCACCCCAATTCTCAGTCACACTGGTGCTGAGGGCAGCTAAGGTAGGAGACCCTCCTGCCTTCAGGAGCTGTCCATCACGCATGGCTGACATCATAGTCTAGAGTGACAGCCCAGGGGCTTCCCTCAGTGCCATGGCTGTACTCTATTCTACACAATGGCGCGCGCTGTCTGCCTGATAGTACCTGCCTGTGCCTTCACTTCCTTGGGTTTCTGTTAGCCCAGCACACTTGACTTCCTTTCAGTTTTGCCATCCGTAAGATTTGCCTGCCCTAGAGGGCATCACACACACGGAAT